CACTCACTCAGCACTCACTCACTCAGCACTCAGCACTCACTGGCTCTGGCTCCCCTGAGACCTCACTCTCTCCATCCTGGGAGTCAGCACACATGGTGAGTACCCTTCCCGAGAAGCTCAGTCTGCACAGTGGGCCTCAGGTTCAGAAGGGCTGGTCAGCCCTGCCCAGCCTACCAGTACACAGTGGGGTGAGGTAGGCCATGGTGCTGGTACTGCCCACCTGCCCACCAGGTGTGGCCAGGTCTGTAGAAGTGGCACCAGGGAGAAGGCCATGCTGCTCTGAATGGTTCAGCTGCAGCCCTGGGGCTGGCCCTCCTGACCAGGTCATAGAGGTCGCACAGGAGGGACATTACCACAATGACCGCTGCACCTACGCTCCTCTCTCTGGGAGAAGCAGAGCGGTGTGTGTGCCCCCACCAGGCCCCTCTTCAATCCTTCCTTGCAGATGGGGTCTCCTTGCCCAGAGCAGCACCCTTGGGGTGGATGCAGGTCTTTCAACGTTGGCCACCGCCTGTCCCCCACTGGGCATGTGGGGCTCCGGGAACAGTGCTCAGGCCAGCCATCTGTGGAGAGGCTACCACTCCAAGCTGTGCTCCTGGGCTGTGCTCCATTGTCTCAGAGACTGTTTCCCTCTGGGGTGTCAGGAGGGCCCCTTCTCTACCTCCTGGATGTGTGGTCCATGCATCTGTGCCACCACTGAGATGTCTGGGGAAAGGTCGAGACTATTTTCTTGTTCACCCCGACCCATGGCACCAGATGAAGGGCCATGGCTGCCTCAGGGGACACTGGTCATGGTAAGAACAGAGCAGCAGGGTCACCCCAACCTGTCTCCGGTCCTGACTCCTCCGGTCATCACTCCTCTGACAGATGGGGGCCGCCCAAGCTTCTAGGCCATATGCTACACTGGGGCGCCAGCCGGCGTCAGCCTGACAGCCTTCAGGTAGCAAAGCCCAGGGCTGGTGGCAGAGTCGGGGCCATCCCTACTGTCCACAGCCACAGCCAGACCTGCTCCAAGCCAGTGGCTCATGGGTCAGACCCTGCAGGGTCCACAGTGAAGGCCCTGCAGGAGTCATGGCCTCTCCCACTGCCCATCCTGGCTGCTGGCCACACAGGGCCCTGCAAAGGGGGAAGGACAAGCCTGCTCTGGTGTCACTCTGGCCAGGAGGAGCTAGCCATCTTCACAGCTCCGCCCTTGGGGTGGGGTCCGTGGAGGCCACTAAGTCAGTGGAGGCCACACTGAGCAGTTAGTTGCCGTCAGGTCGGTCCACACCTGGGAACCCTACGTGCACAGCAGGACCCCTGGAGATTTTCGGGGCATGGCCTTCTGGAAGCACCAGACCTGCTTTCGCAGAGGCCTCTGGGGTTCATACTGTCAGCCTCTGGCTAGTGGCCAAAAGCCTAACTGAAGGACAATGGACCCTAAATCTGATGACTGTGTCTGCGGGAGTCAAAGAAAGCAGTGGAGGTGGTGGTGGGGCATAGAGATGGAGCAGAGTCTGGGGGTAGAGCCACAAGCCATGGACACTGTGACCCCAGGAACTGGGAGAAGCCAGTAGGTGCTTCCCCAAGAGCCCCTGGGGTCAGCCTGGCCTGCTGCCCGGCCTGCACTCTGCCCGAGACCCAGAGGGCAAGCTTTGTGTTGGAGCCCCTGGCTTGGCACTCTGGCCCTGTTGCCACCCAACCCTCAACCAGCATCAGGTCACAACGTGGGCAAAGCTCCAGTGTCCGTGTCCATGCTGAGGACCTAACGGGGAAGGGAAGGGAGGCACACACAAGACTGGGGTCTTCCTGTCCCCCATGTCAGTGGGTTTCCTCCCCATGGGGGGGTTCCTGTCTCATGCTACTGCTCACCCCCTCACCGACTCCCCACAACTCCACTGGGTACAGGGCACAGCAGGGGCCAGGCAGGACAGTGACGTGGCTGTGTGCTGAGTGGACAAGGACTCACAGACAAGAATGTGGTGGCCAAGGAGCCAGTCTGCACCAGGGCTCTGAGCTCTGGGGAGGGGGGCGCATTCCAGGCTGCAATGCTAATCAAGAGGTCAGAGGGTCCCTGAGCAAGACAGACGGGCACACTAAGGACTGGACAGGTGACCAAGGAGGGTACAGACCCCTTCCCCGAGGGCCCAGGGTGTGACTCGAGGTATGTCCCTATCACACATGTATACACGTGAATGTACAGTAGATGGGACTCTAACATAATGTCCTCCACACACGAGGGTACACACATGAGGTGTAACCCCGACGAGCCTCTCTCTCTCTCTCTCTCTCTCACACACACACACACACACACACACACACACACGCTCCTCGATGGTCAGGGAGGGAGGGACTACGTCTGAGCTGATCACATGTGGGTCACAGCAGAGGGAGGAGCACGTCGCGGACACTGGGTAATGAAACCCTTTGTAAACTTTAATGAGCTGCACGACACCCCACACAGGGCTTCTCTACCCCACAGAGCTAAAGTAGGGGCCTCTACATAGCAGTGGGGTCCCCTGTGGCCCTTCGGAGGCCCTTAACCAGGCAGCCCAGGGCCTATATGTGGGTACACCCTTACCCAAGGTCTGAGGGTTCCACAGCATCCCTGAGCTGGCCCTCCTGGCTGCCTGAACATCCTCCAGCCGCGAGGAACTGCAAAGGGAATCCCGGGTGGCTGGGACTCTGGAACAGCTGGGGACAGAAAAGCACAGCCTAAGAGCAGGGCCAATTAACGTGCCACCTGAGGAGGCCACTAGGAGGGGCCTGGGACAGCAGCTCACTCGACAGTGCTGCCAGGGCAGGGCCCTGATAGGAAGGTGGCCTCAGTGTCCCCAGGTCCCCACCCAGGGGCCCTCTGTCCTTTGGACCTCATCCGGGGCACTGAGACCATCTGCTTGGGAGTGGCCTGTGATGCCATGCCTGCTTCCAGCAGCCAGAGACATGGAGTATATATCCACCCTGGGGCAAAGCATTAACGTGGAAATTCTCACCCACCCACACGGCCCCAGACGTGGATGGTTTGCTGAGGACAAGCAGTCGCCCAATGCTGCCCCCTGCTGGCCACTGAAGTCAGCTCACTGAAGCCAAGGGAGCCCCCCACTCTGCGTGGGGGGCTGGACCCCAGAAGACACTGAGCATAGTGAAGCCAAGTCCACACTCTAGGGGGTGGGCTTCATACCGGGTCTAACAGAGCCCACTCCCCCAGGCAGTCCTGAGGCTTCTCTGTGATGTATCAGGAGCCACATCACCTGCCTGTTCTCTGCACCCCAACTCCTGGCCTGGGGTGGCCAGTACAGACTGAGCCGGGAGACCCTCAGGGCACCGGGGACGGTGCTCTCAGACTGACCTGCTTTCGAGGGCATGCACGAGGTGGGAAGAGCCCACAGCTCTGGCCAGCCTCTGCTCCAGCACACGTAGTTCCTGTCCTGTGAGATGTGTAAAGACGCTGTGTGAGGCAGGGGCTGATGGGAGCAGAGGGTGTTTCTGGGGGCCTCGTCCCCTCCAGCCTCAGCTGGACAGAGCTGGACTTCAGCAACTGACAGCTGGAGCCTCCTGGACGGCTACACACCTGTCACCGATCAGCCCTGGCCCCCCGCACCCCACGTGAGTCAGGGCAGAACTGTGCACCACCGTAGTCAGCAGCTGATTTTCACCGCTAGATCACCAGGCCTCTCCACCCAAGGCACCTGTTGGTGGGCCAGAACCCCTAACCTTTTGGGGACCAGCAACCACACAGCCAATGCACCAGCGGGAACTCGGTGCACACTGTCAAGGGGAGAACCCCCGAGGCAGAGAGAAGGTGAGGCTGGGCCACCAGGTCGGCTGGCAGGAGAGGAGACCCTGGCTGACCACAGCCGCCTACCTTGGGATTTGCCAGTGTACTGGTGCCACGGACTGTCTCCCGGCCGCCGTTCCGGGCCTGAGCTCCAGGGCAGCCTCTCAGAGTCCAGCGGATAGCAGGGAGAAGGAAGTGCTACCAGCTTCCCACTGGGCACTAACGCTGCAGGCAAGGCCGAGGCGCTGAGTGAGGGGACAGCTGGCTCTGGGCTGGGCAGCACAGGCAGTGGCAGGTCAGGGCCTGGGGCCAGAAGCGTGTCCAAGGTCCAAGGCTGCTGCAGCTTTGCGGTCAGTGCGTCAATTCGGTGCCTCAGGGTGTTGGCTGTGTTCTCCAGGGCCTGGAGCCGGGCCTGCTTGGACTTGGGGTCCAGGTGGATGCAGAGCTGTGGTGGGGGGTCCTGGAGCTTCCAGGGTTTCATGGAGGCATCTGCTGACAACTGCAGGGGGCTGCCGGCTTCTTCCTTTGGAGTCTTGGGGTGGCTGAAGGCTTTGTTCAGACACAGGCAGAAGCTGCAGGTAGAGAGGGCAGAGGGGCACGCTGGTCACACCGCATCCCCGACGGGGGCAGAAAGTGAGGTGTGAGGGGCGCACTGGTCACACCGCATCCCCGACGGGGGCAGAAAGTGAGGTGTGGGCTGAACCACACAAAACACTGACAGCGGCCCAGAGCCTGCAGCAGCGGGGGCCAGGCCACAGAAGGAGCACCCCACTGGGACCACACGCAGCATCAGGAAGGAGGGTGATCAATACATGCAAAGAAGGCAGGGGAGGCTCGATCAAGGGAGATGAGGTCACACACAAGAAAAACAACAAGCAGCAAAAAAAATGTGTGTGGTGTATATGAGTGTAGACACATATACGTGCATGGGTATTGTTATGGAAGGGCCTTGGTGGCACAGTGTATGACGTATCAAACAATTAACTGAAAGGCCAAGAGTTCGAATCCATCAACCACTCCACAGGAGAAAGATTGGCAGTCTGTTCTCACACAGATTTACAGCCTCAGAAACCCGCTGACGGGCCGCCGTGACCGGGAATGAACGGCCGGCTTACGGGCCACTGTGACCGGGAACCAGCGGCCGGCTGTGGGGCTTGTGGTTGTTTGTGAAGATGGTAAAGATCCAAGAGCACAGGTTCCACCTCAACATAAAGGAAGAAAGAAAAGTCCTCACGGACGGACTGATACACAACACTGTGATACACAGAGAAAAGTGAAGATGCCAAGGGTGTCACGGGGAAGATCCACAATCTACGACCCTGGAACTAGTCATTTACAAAAAAAAATCAAACAACAAATAACACCAGGCAACTCTCTTGTCCAGATTAAAGGTGTTCAAAAGCATATCTGTTGCCTTGAGGACTAAGGTGTGCCTGACTCACACTCGGCCCTGTTCAAGTATCTTACACGTGGGCACAAGCAGGACAATGAGTACAAATACCTGACGACAAGGAAGGAGAACTGATGCGCCTGACTACGGAGCTGGCCAACCTGAGCACCTCACAGACCACCGGAAAAGCAAACAAATCTGTCTCGGAAGAAACGCAGCCAGAATTTCCCTTCAAAGGCAGGATGTGAGACTTAGTCTCATGTACACTGGACATGTTATCAGAAGGAAGCAGTTCATGGAAACGGACATCATGCTCGGTAAAACAGAAGGTCAGCAAAAAGGAAGACACTCAGTGAGATGGCCTGACGGTGGCTGCGAAGACGGGTTCACACACGGCGGAGGGACGAGGCCAGACCAGGCCTCACTCTGTTATGCAGGATGGCGAGGGAGGGGTGTGGGGGTGTGTGGAGGGGGGGGTGCCTCAGAAGCCGCACAGTGCAGTTCCCTGGGGAACACTTGGCCCAGAACTGCCCAGAATGGACTAGAAATTCTAACCTTGGAGTCCACAGCAGCGGATGGATTTGGGTTTTACGCCTGCAGTTCTAACCTCGTTTGAGATTATGTTTTCTTTATTGTGTCAATGAGGCAGAGTTAGTGTAGGGTGTGTTGAGTTGATTGCTTATATAAAAGGCACAGATTGAGCGAGCTGAGATGAGGGAAAGAGGTGCGGAATCAGGTGCAGATCTCCAGGTGACCAGCAATGGCAGCCGAGGAGACATGGGCCTTCCCAAGGAGCCACGCAGAGCGTGTTCCTTTAGACCCAGCCTGAATTCAGACTTCCAGCCTCCAAAAGTGTGAAAAAGAAATCTTTGTTAAAGCCACATCCCTGTGGTATTTCTACTAGAACACCACTACAGAGCAGAGACCGTGCATGCATACACATCCAAAGCTGTATTGATAGGTGTAGACATAATACATGCATAATAAATGTACAGGGCACAGGTACTGACACGCTGAGAGAAGTCAAACACCATGAGAACTTGCTCTTCTTGGTGAGAGCGTCTCTTAGGACCACAGTCTCCCGGGGCACTCAGTCCTTTGTCATCACACTGTTCATAGAATTTTGCATCCTTGTTAAGTGAACAGCATCTTGGGTCTTGAAAGGTTGCAAGGGGTCACTTAACATACAGTGGTTGGTCACTCCACATCCAAAGAAAGCAAGGAAGAAGAAAACCAAAGACTTAAGAAGCAACTCATCTACCAGACTATGAAACACATCCTCACCTACTCTGAGACCAGAGGACCTGGATGGTGCCCAGCTCCCAGTGACCATTCTGATCAGGGCCATACAAAGTAGATTTTGCTAGAATGATAGAAAAATGTGTAAAAAGTTCTTAGAAAACATATATTTACAGGACCAGCTGAGACTGGAGGATTCTGTGGAACTACTGTCCTCACATACCCTTCAAATCTTAAACCAACACTTGTCCCTGAAGTCACCTTTTATCAAAACAGCAGAGTACCTCATCTAATAAAGAATATAACCTGTGTGCCTTTAAAGACCATCTATATGAGACCAAGTATTCAACAAGAACCCGAAAACAAAGAAGGGAGCATGAAGGACGTGGAAGACAATCAGAACGGAATGAATGAGAATGCTGACATTCTGTGGAGACTGTAAATATGTCACAGAAAAGCTTGTGGCAAAATCATGAAATGTGAAATTAATCTCACCAAATACACAAGATTAGGTAAGGAAGGCTGAAAAAACAAGCCATACTGGAAAAGAATATTTGCAAAGCACTTCTCCCCTACATGACCCATACCCAAACTCTACAAAGAACACTTAAGGCACCGGACACAGCTATCAGGAGGGCTAACACAGTGTACTGACATCACCAAATGCGGGCTGTGACGTGGAGACACCAGAACGCCCGCCTCTGCTGATGGGAGGTGAGATGGTGCAGTTACTCTGGGAGGAGCGGGTGGTTTCTTATAAACTAAATGACATGACTGCTGTCGGATGCTGTTGGGTCACCTGCAAACTCTAATCACCCATGTACAGCAGAGGAAACAGCCCAGGCCTGTGCCATCTTCACAGTTTGGCTGAGCACACTGCTGTAGCCTCTGTGCTGATCCATTTCGAGTCTTTCCCTTTTACCTGATCTTGCACTTTATTACATGTGATAGAAGATCAAGAAGACAAAGTACATAGTAAAACGTGCAAAGACCAGAGTTAGAAAAAAACAAAAGAGAAAGCTGACCACGTGATTGAAAATCCTTCTCTGAAGCATTTGTCCTGCCGAGTTAAAAATGTATGTCCTCTCTGTAAATGTTTATGAAAATTAATAAAATATAGAAAAAAAAAATGTATGTCCAAAAAAAACTTGTATGGGAATGTTTAAATCCACTTCATTCACAATTGTCAGAACCAGGGCCACCTCACTCCACAGAGCTGCCTCAGAATCACCGCCAGGAAGACACCCAGAGGAGATGCTTGTACGTGCAAGTTCTTAGTCGTATGATCCACAGCAGGCAGGAGGTGCAAACAGCCCAAATGTTCACGCGTAGGGACACACCAGGGAGCTCTGGTAAGAAGCTGTATTGCGATCCCAAAGGCTCATGGTTCAATCCACCAGCTGCTCTGAGGAAGCAGGATGGGTAATCTCCTCCTATACAATTTACTGCCTCTGAAAACTCACCGGAGGGTCAGCTATGACTTGACGACACTGCCCAGCCATGAAAGAGGAGGGTTCTGGTCCACCTCAGGACACAGTGAAAACACAGCGCTGAGAGGACAAAGCCCAGAGGCCCACGGGGCCACACTCCTCTATCTGAAAAGTCCAGATCAAGTAGACAGCCAGAAGGTGGGCTGGGGCTTGAGTGGGCTTGGGAGGAGTAGAAAGTGTGACTGTGGAGGCTGGGACACCTTTTCATTCAGGCTCACTTCCAACTCACAGCTTCTTTGGTTCCCAAGGCTGTAAATCGCAATGGGAGCAAACTGCCTGTCCTTTCTCAGGAAGCTGGAGGGGCCGAGCCTCTGGAGAGGACAGGGTAGGGCCACACTCTACAGACTCCACCACAGAACTCCCCTGGAGTCTCCTTCTGGGGGTGCAAACAGTTGGGAACTAGACAGAGGTGGAGGTTACCAAGTGGTTATGAACCATCCACAATTAACGTGGTTCATGGTACATTACGGGAACTTCCTCTCCATTTAAAACGTGGCAGGTAAAGAGCACCTGCACTGGGGGCAGACTCAGTCAGTCCCTGTCCACAGCCCCCAGGGCAGCCCTCAGCCAGTGTCCGAGACCCTGCCCACCCCAGGCTTCAGCACACGCCCACCAGCTGTCCCCTTCACACGCACCTGCCTGTGGCCTTGGGGCCCTTCGTCACCTTGCCTGAGGTCACTTTGTTCCGCTCCAGCACCGGAGATCCCAGGCCCCGTGAGGAGTCGGTGTCCTACGGCAGAAGGTTACCGTCAAGAGACCGCATTGCCAGAGGCAGGCAGCTCGAATCCACCACATGCTCTGCTGGAGAAGGAGGGCAATCTCCTCCTGTACCAGTCAGATCTGATTTGAAGGTACACACACACATACACAAAATAATAAAAAATAAAATAAAGAGAGTCCATCACTCAGCTTCCAGTGGGGTCTCTGTCTGGGCTCAGAGCCTCTCAAGAAAATGGGGGTGCCGAGGCTGTGATGGCCACAGAGGTCTCCCCTGACCCTACTCTATGCATTCAGGCCGCAGGCTTGGGGGTGACAGAGGTGGGACAAAGTGGGCTGTGTGTGACCTCCCACCCATCCAGCCCTGCCCAGTCTCCTCGGAGAGCCGTAAAGGTGGGTGCCCTCTTACCTCCGGCTGCGTGGCGTGTTGCACAAAGGTCACTATGCCCGGCTGGGTCTGGGAGACCACAGGGCCCGGCTTCCTGAGCACCGCCTCCCTCTGTTTGCGGTAAACTTCCTGCAGCCGGCGGGTCCGCAGCTCCAGTGCGCGCTCGGCTGCTGCCTTCTCCTCCTGCTCCTGCCGCCTCCGCGCCAGAGCCCTCTGCTTCATGAAGGCACGCAGGGACGCAGAGCGGCGTTCAGGGCCTGGGGCGCCCGGGGACCTCCCGCCGGCCGCCAGCGTCTCCACATTTGCCTTCCCTGGCGCGTCCAGGGGAGTCTCTGTCCAGTGCACGAAGGGCCTGCTCTTGGGACCCTGAGCCAGAGGACCGGGCCCTTCTACAAGGTTCCTGGGGGTGCGCACAGAAGCGGTCCAGTCTCTGAAACCATCTGAAGTGCTCCAAGGTCGCCAGGCCGGAGGAGTCTGCCTTTCTAGAAGGTTCCACGACCGGTGGATAGGAGGCTCCTGGTTTTCACAACTCAGGTCAGCTGAAGTACTCCAGGGCCGAGGAGGGAAGGAGCACAGTGTTGTCCGCCGGCTCTCAGCTGTCCAAGCCCTCTGTGGAGAGGACCCCACCCTGGTGGGGGTGCTGCAGGGCGGCTGCCCAGGCAGGCCCCAGGCGCTCTGCGAGGCCTTGCCCTTGTCTGAGGATGTGGCACAAAACCTTCGGGAGAAGGCATCCTTCACGTCCAGGTCACCCTGGGCGCCCTGCTCCCCTGACTTGGGGAGGTGTCTCTTCACTGATTTTAACCTTCCAACAGGGAAGTGTCTTGCCAAGTCCAGCCCCGCCTGGATCTGCCAGCGGAGATCTTGTAGGATGGCCATGGCGGTCTGGATAGTGGCTGGCTGGTCCAGGGAGGCCAGGCTGGGTGTTTTAGGAGACACTTGCTGGTCACTTTGGGCTGGGCTGGGCGTCCGGGCAGGGGCTGGCTCATGTGCAGCAACTGGAATCGCCTTACTGTCTCCTGCAAAGGGCAGTTACTGGTACTTCAGGAACCACAGATGTGGAGAGGGCAGGACCCCGGAGGGGGCACCCAGGAGGGGTCAGCAGGGCAGGGGGCCCTCAGGACCAGTGTCTCTCAAGGCCCCTCCCTTGACTATCCTTTTCCCCTGAATGCACCAATCATAGACACACAGGTGCCCCCAGGACAGATGCCCCTCTGCTGGCTAGTGCCTGGCTCAGAGCCGACATCTCTGACTCCACCCCAGATGTCACTGAAGGGTCCTGCTGGTCCCCTTCCTCCTGTCCTTGAATCGGGGAGCCTGGACAGCCGAGCCTGCCTCTCCAGAGGCTGACAGGAGCCTCTGGGGGATGAAGTCCTTGTCTGGAAGGATGGCAGGATGCCCCACCCCTAGCACCAACACTTGGAGCCCCACTCCCCCACCCCCTCAGTCACACCCCAACCCCCACCCCTGATGCCAGCATGCAGCCAGAGGTACCTAATTCCTCAGGGTGGGCGGGCTCTGGGGAGCATGCCAGGCTCTGACGCCTGGGAACCACAGAATGGGGCCCAAGCAGCAACTTCACCAGGGCTGGTCCTTTCCTCCAGGCGTACACGCCCACCGACTCAGAATCTTAAATGGAAAATATACATATGCAGGGCAGGAGGGGGCCTGAGGGTGCTCTGGGACCCTGCCTGCCCAGGCACCTTGGGGTCGGGGCCAGATTTTCAGCCACCAGCAAGAGAGGGCAGCACTCCACTTCCAGGAACAGAGGAGAGTAACTAAGGCTGCTCCCTGGCTCTTCCTGTGCGACACACAGACCCTGAGACACGCACTTTCCCCCCAAACACCCGCCTGCATGTGGGGTTCTGCAAACACCGTCCATGTGCATGGGGCGTGCCCAGCAAACACCATCTCCTAATGCAGAGCACTCTCAGCAAATGCTGTCTGATGACCAGCAGGGGGAACGTTGAGCCAGGCCTCCAGTACCTGGAGCACACAGGCCAGCAAGGCTGCAGGGGTGGGAGTCAGAGGGCTACCTGCAGACGATGTGCCAGGGGAACAGATGTGTAAGGAGGGCTAGGGTCCCGGTGATGCAGCAGAAACCACTCACCACATTGTGAGTATAATGAACACCATCATGAAAGTTTTACCTCCGAATCCCAGATCAGTCACCCAGCATCTAAGCCAGCACCGTCATCACTGGCCCTGGATGAAGCTGGACAGCACTCACAGGCTTTAAGGTGTTCAGACCAAGGCCACACCTGTTGGGGTCCCACCACCCCTTCACGTGAGCCCAGGGCGCTAACCTTTGGGACAGCTGATCTTGGACAGGAAGATCTGGCCCAGTGAAGCCCACAGGATCCCAATCAAGACCCCCATGCAGAGAGTTCTCTTTCAGAGGTCCTAAAGATCCAGGAAGTATTAAAAGAAGATGGAAGGAATATA